ACTGTTGTGCATTAAATCTTGCGATATATCTTGCGTCTATATGCGACTGTTGTAGAATGAAAGCGAGTGTTGTAAGATAATGCGATAGGATTGCACGACTGGTCAGGTAATCGGACGATTGAACGTGCGACAAAATGATTGGACGTGCAGTGTTCGTGCGCTCATGCATTCCACAGTACGAATGTTCGTGCGAGTCAGAGGGCCTGGGATATATACCACCCGTTTCCGACGCTCTTCAGTTGACATAGTTAAGATGCTTATAATTATACACGGTATATATACCTGTTGCAAAGCATGGCAATTGAAGGTGATAAATTAAACAATGATAGTAAAATGTTGCAAGATTCCATGAGACATGTTGAGCAACAGTCTCATGGTCGCAAAAAACGCAAAGACAGCCGCGATTCATCTTTCGATCTTAAAAAATCGTGCATCACTTTTACGAGTACATAAAACGTTGTAAGACCTTCGTACTGATTTTCGTGCGTTGAATTGCGATAATTTTGATCGCATTTGGTCGCGTCTGAATAGTGTGCATGTTGACTAATTTGAAGAGACTTGATGCGACCACTAAAACACATGCAATGAATTCGAGACATCGTGCAACGTATGCGATAGCTCGTGCGAAGCTAAAATTTTCCGATCGCAAAGTGTTGTAAAGTGCTCGTGCGCCAATTGTGAAAGGGCCTTTATATAATTCACACTTTCCTTATCTACATTCATCGTGTATCTACATTCATCGAATACAACCAGGGGCCTATATACTTAGTATATAAGTCCCTGATACAACAAAGACAATCAAGGATATTTTTGTGTTAAATATTTAGCAAAATTAAAATACATACGTGTATAGAAATATTTATTATATAAAACAGCAAAATATTAATCTTGAAAGGTGCATGCTACAATCATATGTAACCGAGATATACAAATTTTGAAGATACAGTCAAATTTATTTGAGACTCAATCTAAGATTATCTTACTTAATGCTACCTAAAAGTATGTAAACATTATCTACTGAAGTTCAATGGGCCTTTGCAAAGTATTATAATTGTGTTTGTGCCATTAAATATTTGTATTATTTTATTTGTAAGTAATTCATTTATTTATATTGACACATTTACAAAAAATTATGTTATTTACAAACAGTAATAAACACAAACTTGAAAAAATGCAATTTTTTAAGAAAATAGAGCACAAGATTAAGAGATAAAAAAAATACCAAAAATATACATGTTTAAACATATTCCCTGTATTCTAAGATCTGAAAAGATTAAAAAATATGGTTAGATATTTTAGGTGTCATTGAGTTTTTGCCCGTTTTTATTTGAAGTCTATGATTGAATTTATTTGTTTTATTTCTTCAAAGGCAATGGTAATGAAGTTTCTGAGAACTAGTCTAATTATATATTGATAAAAACAAGCAAATTCAAATAATTGTGGTCCCCCATTTTCGGTGTCTTTGTGGGTGAGATGTTATTTTTATGACATATTGTGTGTAATACGAACATCCTATCATATGTCATTTATATAGAAAGTAACACTGAAGTTGATTTTTTTGAAGGATGAAAACCCTAATCCTGACCGTGAAAAAGTTATGTCCAAAGTAAAAAGTTTTTCAAAAGTAGGTCAACCCCAAGGTCAAGATCAAAGGGTCAAAGTTGTTGATATCCAATGAAAAGTTTTCTCACAAGGATAACGTATGTGAAGAATGAAAGTCATAGCCCTTACTGTTCAAAATTTATGGTCAAGGTTACATAAAGTTACATAAATCTTTAAGGTCAAGGTCAAAAGGTCAAAGTTGTTGATATCCAATGAAAGGACTTGCCACAAAGAATACATATGTAAAATATAAAAAGTCTTAGTATCTACCGTTCAAAAGTTGTGACCAAAGTTAAAGTATTTTTAAAAAGTAGTAAAAACTCCAAGGTCAAGGTCAAAGGGTAAAAGTTATTGGTATTCAATGAAAGGTCTTCTCAAAAGGATCAAATATGTGAAGTACAAAAGCCCTAGTCCTCACCGTTCAAAAGTTATGGTCAAGATTAAAGTTTTTTCATAAGTACATAAATCTCCAAGGTCAAGGTCAAAAGGTCAAGGCTGTTGGTATCCAATGAAATGTCTTGCCACAAGGAATACATATGTGAAATATAAAAGTCCTAGTATCTACTGTTTAAAAGTTGTAACCAAAGTTAAAGTTTTTAAAATGTAATTAAAACTCCAAGGTCAAGGTCAAAGGGCAAAAGTTATTGGTATCCAATGAAAGATCTTCTCACAAGGATTACATATGTGAAATACGAAAGCCTTCGTCCTCACCATTCAAAAATTATGGTCAAGGTTAAACTTTTTTCATAAGTACGTAAATCTTCAAAATCAAGGTCAATAGGTCAAGGTTGTTGTTATCCAATGAAATGTTCTGCCACAAACAATACATATGTGAAATATGAAAGTCCTAGTACCTACTATTCAAAAGTTATGGCCAAAGTAAAAGTTTGGAATTTTTGTGTAAAAGTGGGTCAAACTCCAAGGTCAAGGTCAAAAGGTCAAATTTGGTGGTACCCAAAGAAAGGTCTTGTCACAAGGAATACACATATGAAATATGAAAGTCATAGCTCCACTAAATTAAAAGTTATGGGCAAGGTTAAAGTTTTTGTGACGGACAGACTGACGGACAGACAGACAGACGAATGAGATTTAATGTCCCCTCGCTTTTTCGAAAGCGGGGGACAACAAAAAAAAATTAATGTGTTCACCAATACTACCAAGATAGAACATTTGGTAACAAGAAAACTTTTCTGGGTCCTGCAGTTCCTGACAAAGTATAACTACGATACATAGTCCCCCACATAAGTACTAACACAGGGTCAGTCTACTGGATCCTAGGTCATTCTACTGGATCCTCCCGGGTTGGGAGTACTATTCCTTAGTTCCTGACTTAATGTAAGTACAATACATAGTTCCCAATATAAGTACTAACACAGGGCAGTCTACTGGATCCTAGGTCACTCTACTGGATCCTCCCAGGTTAGGAGTACTATTCCTCGGTTCCTGACTTATTGTAAGTACAATACATAGTCCCCAATATAAGTACTAACACAGGAGCAGTGTACTGGATCCGAGGTTTCTCTACTGGATCCTCCCAGGTTGGGAGTACCGTTCCTTGGTTCCTGACTTATTGTAAGTACAATACATAGTCCTCAATATAAGTACTAACACAGGGGCAGTCTACTGGATCCTGGGTCACTCTTCTTGATCCTCCCAGGTTAGGAGTACTATTCCTTATTTCCTGCCTTATTGTAAGTACAGTACATAGTCCCCAATATAAGTACTAACACAGGGTCAGTCTACTGGATGCTGGGTCACTCTACTGGATCCTCCCAGGTTAGGAGTACTATTCCTTAGTTCCTGACTTATTGTAAGTACAATACATAGTCCGCAATATAAGTACTGACACAGGGTCAGTCTACTGGATCCTAGGTCACTCTACTGGATCCTCCCGGGTTGGGAGTACTATTCCTTGGTTCCTGACTTAATGTAAGTACAATACATAGTTCCCAATATAAGTACTAACACAGGGCAGTCTACTGGATCCTAGGTCACTCTACTGGATCCTCCCAGGTTAGGAGTACTATTCCTTAGTTCCTGACTTATTGTAAGTACAATACATAGTCCCCAATATAAGTACTAACACAGGGTCAGTCTACTGGATCTTAGGTCACTCTACTGGATCCTCCAAGGTTGGGAGTTCTATTCCTTGGTTCCTGACTTATTGTAAGTACAATACATAGTTCCCAATATAAGTACTAACACAGGGCAGTCTACTGGATCCTGGGTCACTCTACTGGATCCTCCCAGGTTAGAAGTACTGTTCCTTGGTTCCTGACTTATTGTAAGTACAATACAAAGTCCCCAATATAAGTACTAGCACAGGGGCAGTCTCCTGGATCCTAGGTCACTCTACTGGATCCTAGGTCACTCTACTGGATCCACCCAGGTTAGGAGTACTATTCCTTAGTTCCTGACTTATTGTAAGTACAATACATAGTCCGCAATATAAGTACTGACACAGGGTCAGTCCACTGGATCCTAGGTCACTCTACTGGATCCCCCCAGGTTAGGAGTACTATTCCTTGGTTCCTGACTTATTGTTAGTACAATACATAGTCCCCAATATAAGTACTAACACAGGGGCAGTCTACTGGATCATGGGTCACTTAGTGTTAGTACAATACATAGTCCCCAATATATGTACTAACACAGGGTCAGTCTACTGGATCCTAGGTCACTCTACTGGATCCTCCCAGGTTAGGAGTACTATTCCTTAGTTCCTGACTTATTGTAAGTACAATACATAGTCCCCAATATAAATACTAACACAGGGCAGTCTACTGGATCCTGGGTCACTCTACTGGATCCTCCCAGGTTAGGAGTACTATTCCTTGGTTCCTGACTTAATGTAAGTACAATACATAATCCCCAATATAAGTACTAACACAGGGCAGTCTATTGGATCCTAGGTCACTCTACTGGATCCTCCCAGGTTAGGAGTACTATTCCTTAGTTCCTGACTTATTGTCCCCAATTCAAGTACTAACACAGGGGCGGAATAATAGATCCTATGTCACTCTCCTATATCATCATTTTCATTCATTTGACTTCATTAGGCAATCTTTGCATGTAAAGTACTGAACGGATGACTGTTTAGCAATTTCTTCTCCAACACAATAGTTATTTTTGTGGAATTTCCTCATACAAACATGACAAGGAACCTTAAAGCAGAAAAAAATAAATAAAAATATTTAAGAATATTAAAACAAAAACTTTTTATCTGGAATACTGTTTGTTATCCCCATATGTTTCATTCCTGCAATTTATCATTTTAATTTGAAATGCTTAAGTACATGTAGCTGATATTCAACAAGCAACAATATACCAAACTTACCAAATCATCTTTACGATCATCTATCTTCAATCCACAGCAAGTACAACAATCACCTATGTGTTCTGTGTTACAAAAAAAAATTATAAGATTATTTTTAATTCTTATAGTATCACAGCATTCATGTTCATTAAATATATACAGAGTAAAGAGGAAAAGCCACTAAACTTTTAATCATCTATTGTGAATGACTTCATTTTAAACTAACCTTCAAACAGTAGAAGAGTAGTTCCCACTGAACACTTAAAAGAAGGTTTCTTCCCATGTAATTTCTGAAATTAAATAAAAAATTGTGAATGCTAACTTTCAGTGTGCAGAATTAGGAAAACTGGAATAGAAAGAAAATCTTTTCAAATCACATTAAAGGTACTTGGACACAGATTTGAAATTATTGTCTCTATAATATTACGACTTATATATTTTAAAAGCATTTCACACAAAAATCAATTAAAAATCTTATTTCGTTTAATAGATATTGAAATTTCAAATTTTTCGGCGGG